AAAAAAAAAAAAACTCTAGGTTACAATCGTAAAAAAACACGTATAATACAAGTTTCAAATAATTATTTACCTTAAATTTTAAGAAAAATTATAAAATATTATATCTCAATTTAAATAGATTATATAAAAAATTGGACGTTATTATTTATCTAAAATAGTAATATAATAGAATATCATAATTAAGTATAATAGATTAATTTTGTATTTAATAATGTAAGAAAATAATACATTTACGTAAATTCTAAATTATTAATGATATGAATTTAAAATACTTGTTTTATTTATATAATTAAAAATAACAACAATACAATTAAATTTGTCTTATTTATATATGAAATTGTAAATACTAACTTTAACGCATATATAATGTTAAAAAATAATTAAAAATATATTTTTTTTTGGCAAATTTAGTGTAAAATACAGCACTGTTTAAATTTTTTATCACTTTTTTAGTTATTAATTATTGTTGCATATTCATCATACATAATTTCACAATGAAAATATAAATTATTTTAATTTTAGTTACTCAAATATTAATATATTTAAGTACCCGTGTACTACACGAGTATTATACTAGTTTGTAAATAAAACAAAATTTTTAGTATACAACATATAGGGGCTATATCTTTCTTTAGATTATTGTGCTGTCACAATCATGTAAACTAGTGTATATCTCGTGCGATGCACGAAGGAGCTTATATTTTAAATATTTTTGACTTTGTTTTAAATATAATTATTTGTATTTTTCACATCTCGTCTATTATGAAAATAAAATAAATGCAAACAATGAAAAATATATATTATTAAACACTTCTCTTTATACAATATTTTTTATTTAAAGAATATTATTAAACCTTACTGTTTTGATTTTGTTTTTTTAAATTAATTATCCAATATTTGATTGTTAACGTACAAAAAATAATGGAAAGACTCAAGACTTAAAAGTAAAGCTATTATTTATTATTTTACAAATAACAATCATCCAATTTGTTTTTTTTTTTTCAAAAAAATTGGAAAGTTAGTTAATAAGTTAAATCAAGTTACACAAATGACTGAATAATTATTTTATTATATTAATTACGTATTAAAAAATCTGATTATATAAATGTGGGTAAAAAAAATATTATACTAATTAGTCTGTTAGGATTGTGATTATATGGAAGTTAAGATAAAATAAAATGTAACCAAAACATCGGTTCCTGGTCTTTTCCTTTAAATGTTTGAATTTATAAATCTAATAACCAAATTTAGATTATATCATATAAGGAAAAAATAAATAATAATATTTATGAATATGTTAAAAATTTAAATTTTGAATTTCAAATAGAGTAGAAGACAAAATAATTCAAATTTGATTTCAAGAACTTTTTAAAGTGTTTAATATTTTGGTAAGTATACCCGTAAAAATAATCTTACTATTTTAATTTCAAAAATTTTGACAAGTGTGTTAATAAAATAAATTCGGTTAAACAAAAGATTAATTATTTAAAATACTATATTAATTATATTTGGAAAATTCCAATTAGATAATTGTAATTGTATTTATTAGTTTGTTAGGAATATGATTATATGGAAGTTAAGATAATATGAAATGTACCCAAAAAATCTCTTTTGTGATTTTTTCCTTTAAATGTTTGAATTTAAAAATCTAATAACCAAATTTAGATTATATCATGTAAGGAAAAAAATAAATAATAAACATTTATTAACGAGATAAATCAATAATATTTATCACTTAGATAATAAATAATAAACAGTTATACGTAAGAAAAATAAACATTAATATATTTAAAAATAAAACTTAGAATTTCATATACAGTAAATGGAGGGATAACTCATTTTTAAAAAATAATTCTAAATGTTTAATATATTGGTAAGTATCTCCGTATGAATAACCATATCATTCTAATTTCAAAAAAATTGCCAAGTTTGTTAGAGAGATAATTCCAGTTAGATAAATAATTAATTAGTTAAGATATTATATTAATTATATCATTAAAAAACCAGTTGGATAATGTAGATAAAAAATATATTATTAATTAGCTTGTTAGGAATTCGATTATATGAATATCAAGATAAAATAAATTTACCCAAAAAATCTGCTTGTGATCTTTTCTTTTGTTAGTGTTATATACTGAAAGGTTGGCTTTTTTGGATGATATTACACTTTTACCCTGTATGAATGAAAATATGTTAGATAAACAAGTTCTACGTTCTGTTGTTTTGCATTAGATAGTGTGGGTCGTCATCGGGCGAACCGAAGATCATGCTATCAGTTACTCGCAAAACAAGAATAGTTGGTTCACAACCCAGATGGACATGAACACCCCATCGTGAACGGTTGTAGTGTCAACCGTACAATTTGTCTTGACTGATTGGTTGCACTAGTACATTTATGTATTGAACAGGATCCCAGAGAGGAGCAGTTCGTTTTATACTGATCGTTGTAAACGAACTAGGCCTCGGTTAATTACTGTGTACTCTTAACTCGTAAGATATTAAACATGCATATATGTCTAGTACTTATGACTTTGATTCACATGGGTGAGCCTTAGTGAACTGAGCCAATAAACCCACTGTCTTGTGTAATATTGCGGTATGTAGGATGTGCTGTTAGGATATTTACGGTCACCCTGTGCGTTAGTTTGATGATGTCCCCGGAGTGAGTTCATGAAGGATTATTATGTTAAACCCTGCAGGCGGATTAAATTCCGGCATAGTAATAATGTGATGAACGAGCGCTAGTTTCGGTGAAATAATAATAAATTAATTAATTCTTGATTGTGAGTAATCAAATTAATTAATGGACATTATATCTTAAACATGGGAAGATAAATCGAGTAATTATTATTGGAGTCTCAGTTGTAAATTGGGCTAGGAAAATAGAGTGCAATAATATTTTGTTGGTGACCCATTTAATATTATTTAATTAATTAAAATAAGTGGCTTGATCCACAAGTATTTTAATTAATTAAGGAGTCCTAATTCTAATCTCCTATGGGTCTTAGCTATATATATACATCATTAAGCTCATGGGAAGATAACTCCTTTTACAGGCCTAAATCACCGCCCCATATTCTCTCTATATATACATCATTAAACTCATGGGAAGAGAACTTCTCTTACACACCTAAACTGCCGCCCCATATTCTCTCTCAGTTCCCATTCGAGCTTTATCTTTTTTTTGTTGTTCTACCGGTACAAGATTAAGAGGTTTTTGAGATATACATGAGCTTTATCTTTTTCTTGTTGTTCCACCGGTACAAGATTAAGAGGTGTTTGAGATATACAGTAGAAGATTTGTAGGTAAATCAAGACGAAATATATTTTATCGTACAGAACTAACCGGAGGTTCGATCAAGACGTGCAACATACCCAGATGACCGTCTCGACGAGGGCTTTCCAACACCACCGAGATTGCAGCCATCCGACGCTGCACGCGCTCTCACTTGGCGTCGGAAGCTCCCAGGACTGCAACTTGTCTTCTTTCGTTTTTGCACCCGTTTGATTCGGTTTTTGATCCGATCTTCTTCGTGCAACCCTAGGACGCGATTTGCAGTCTACTTTTTATTGGTGTGTTGTGTACGGCCATCCAGAAGATCAAACAGATCACCATAAATTTTAAGCCGTAAGTTCTCTACGCAAACATTTAGATCCGATGCGCATATGTTTACGTTTTGCTATTGAATTCGTAATTTGTACATAACGAGAACCTCATAAATCCCAACATCTTTTAAATTTTTGAATTTAAAATATAATAACCAAATTTTGATTATATCATGTAATGTAAAAAATAAATAATAAACATTTATTAAAGAGATAAATCAATAATATTTGTCACATAGATTATAAATAATAAATATTTACATGTAAAACAATAATAATATATTTAGAAATATACTCAGAATTTCAAATAAAGTAAAAAGGGGGATAACACATTTTTTCTTAAAAAAAGTTTCTAAATATTTAATATATTTGATAAGTATATCTACATAAGAATAATCATACTATTTTAATTCCAAAAAAATTGACAAGTTTGTTAGAGAGATAAATCTGGTTAGATAAATGATTAATTAGTTAAGATATTATATTAATTGTATCATAAAAAAATCGGTTAGATAATGTAGATAAAAAAATATAATATTAATTAGTTTGTTATAAATATGATTATATGAAAATCAAGATAAAAATAAATTTACCCAAAAAATTTTGTTTTGGATCTTTTTCTTTAAATGTTTGAATTTAAAAATTTAATACCGAATTTTGATTATATCACATAAGGAAAAAATAAATAATAAACGTTTATTAATATTTTAAAATATGTAATTTTGAATTTCATATAAGGTAAAAGGTATGACAATTCAAATTTATTTTTAAAATTAAAGTTGTGATAAACATTTATTGATTCTCTTTCAAACATATTAATAAGATAAAAATATAAATCTAAACAAATTTTGAAACAATTTATGTGTTGTTCATCCAACTACTGTCACCGGAAGATATGTGATTTGTTGCTGATGGACCAGAAGAAACTTGGGAATAACAACTAAGGACATAAATGAACATTATTATTGTGTGATTTGCACAGCAAATCTGACACCAAACACACCATCACCACTCATCATCTCCCACCACCCATCACCATATGATCCTCAACACTATCATCAAACCGAATACTACCCTGAATCGGACTGGTTAAAATCTGGTCCGGACACAAACTCATGGTCAACGGCTTGATCGGGCCGAGCGGCCCATGGCCACCTCTATATGTGGGCTTAGAGTATGTAATCAAGCACGTCTCATCTTCAATCTTCTTTTCTTCTTGTTAATAACATCACCACTATCGGGCTAATAATTGAATTGTAAATTTACATAATACATTAACTCACACAACAAATTAATAATAAACAGAGTACTGAGATGGGAACGCCGGAAACGGGAAAAGATACTGAGATGGTGAGCTCAATCGCCGGTCGCCCACCTGACAAACCTCCGGACTCGCCGTTGATCTTCAAAGGTACGAAGCCCTCCTTCAGAGACATCACACTTCTTTCGAAGCCGCTCCCTCCTCCGCCCCAAAAACGAGATCTGTTCAAAGAAAACCTAGCTAAGATTAATCTGATCGACAATGACCGATTGAAGCCAGTCTTGGAGCTAGACCCGGATTATTATGCTGCGGTGTGCCGTCCATATGAAGATGGGCTTGTGGTTCGATTATTAGGGAAAAGAGTTTCCTTCTTTTACATGAGAGAGGGGCTCAAGAGACTGTGGAAGCCTCACGGGCATCTAGAGCTTATTGATTTGGCTAATGGCTTTTTCATGGTTAAATTCACTCGGGAAGAAGATAGGGAAACAGCTCTTAATGGAGGCCCGTGGATGCTCTCAGGTCACTATGTCACAGTTCATAAATGGACCCCCCAGTTCAACCCGTTCAATGATGTGATTGAAAACACTATGGTTTGGATTCGATTTTCAGGGCTGAATCTCGCTATGTTTGATGAGAACATAATGTTCTGCCTGGCATCTATGGTGGGAACTCCAGTAAAGGTTGATCTCAACACCTCCACGGTTGAAAGGGGTAAATATGCTCGAGCATGTGTTCAGATTGATTTGAATCAGCCTGTTGTTGGCCAGGTGGGGTTCCAGGGGATTTGGTACAAGGTTGAGTACGAGGGGCTCTATCTATTATGCCCCCTTTGTGGACGATATGGACACAATCGAAACACTTGTTCCTTTGTTAAGCCAGTGGACTCTGCGGGCCAGTCGACTTCGCTTGACAAGGGTAAATCTATTGTTAATGATCTTGACATGAAACCCCCAGATGAACTACATGGGGATTGGCTCGTGGAACAAAAAAGAAGGAGAAGAGGGAGACCGAACAAAAATGTGGGAAACGGTGAGACGTCTTCTCCAGATAGGGTTGCCCACAAGGTGACAAATATGGCTAATCCTAACCCACAGACTAAGGCTAAGGTACACCCTGTTATCTCAAACCACTCCAAAAAAGAGGGGACGGGAGGCTATCGAAAGGGCACCAAAACTCCACAGTTGCCATTGGTAGAAGTTGAAACGAACCACGCCTCTGCTAAAAAGAGACGCCATGCAGTTTTGTCCAAGGGGAACAGTTCTAAGCAGCCCCAAGAAGTTGATTCAATATCTCGGGGGATTATTCACGCTAACAGGTTCGAGTACCTCGATCCGACGACAATGGGCACGAGTGGGGATATGGTTATGGAAGTCGAAGCTATCAAGGCAGGGCGGGAAATGGAAGCCCATACCAGACCTCCTGATACTAATTCGGTTGACCGGAATTAATATCCCCGTCATCAGTTATATGGGTTCTACACCAGTTAATATAGCTAGACGCCCAGGCTCGATGGGTGGTCACAATATGGATGACAGGGGTATGCAGGTGTTTACAGATATTGGTGTACTATCCTGGAATGTTCGAGGCTTGGTCAATAAGTTCTCGCAGAGACAGTTGAAAGATCTTCTATTCTTGCACAGACCGACTTTCTGTTTTGTCATGGAACCTCAATGCCTCTTCGGGAGACATGAGCCCTGGCTACAACACTGTGGTTATGATCGAGTGTTCATTTCGGAAGCGACAGGTAGAAGTGGTGGCATCTGGCTTCTCCAGAAGACAGGACACCCATTTTGGGTTTCTGTTATTCACACTTCGGCCCGGGTTATTTCTATCAGCATCGGGCGTGGTGGTCGTCAATGGGCGCTCACGGGGATTTATGCCTCGCCCTGTTTTCGAGAACGGCTCAGTGATTGGGAGAGCCTTAAGGCAGCTCGTTTGATCTGTGAAGGGCCATGGTGTGTCATAGGGGACTGGAACGAGGTTACTGGCCCATCTAATTCCACGGGCTGCTCCTTCATTCAACAACGAGCTAATGCCATTAATGACGTCTTGCAACATTGTGATCTTACAGTCCTTCAGAGCATTGGGCCGCCCTTCACATGGCGTAGATCCTCAACGGGAGACAATGTTCACTCCCAGAAATGCCTAGATTACGCCGCAGCGGATTCAGATTGGATTGCCAACTTTCCATTCGGGATGGTGGAGACTCTTAATAGAGGTAATAGTGATCATAACCCGCTCCTGCTGCATTGTCATCACGAACCAAACACTCAGGGGCTTCCTCCATCGCCTTTTCGATGGCATGAGGCATGGGCAGACCACCCCGAGTATCGTAATGTTCTGACTGAGAATTGGAACCTCGGCAATGCAGACCTCTTGTTCAATATGAATTCTATCAGGGATGCATCTTCCACGTTCAACCGGACATGTTTCGGTAATATTGGGGCTCGTAAACGCAAAATTCAACGTCGCTTATTGGGTATCCAACGCATCCAAACGCGGGTAGATTCGGCGCGACTCGCAATCCTTGAGGGGCAACTTCTGAAGGAATACAACACCATCCTTCATCAGGAAGAGCTCATTTGGTTCCAGAAATCTAGGGAAAAAATTCTTTTGCACGGGGATCGCAATACTCGATATTTCCAAACAGCCGCCAAAATCCGCAGAAACAAATCGGCCATTCACGGGCTTCAAATTTCCAACTGCTGGACATCAGATGAAGCAACTCTCAGAGGACACGCGATGGCTCACTTTGAGAGTCGGTTTACGGATAGCCCCATAATCCCCATTGGTTGCGACTACACCGAGCCTCTTTCGCCTCCGACTCCCGATATAGTGCTATCGGTCACACAGACACCTTCCAACATGGAAATCAAACTGGCGGTCGACTCCTGCCCACCCTATTCGGCCCCGGGCCCAGATGGTTTCCCAGCTGCTTTCTTCAAAAAATTTTGGCATCACATCGGGTCGGACACGTGTGAATTTATTCGCAATATTTTTGCTAATGGTCAGTTCAATTATACTCTTGGCTTCTCGTATATATGTTTAATCCCGAAGATTGCCACGCTGCTCACTATCAAGGACTACAGACCCATTAGCCTATGCAATGTCGTGTACAAGTTCGTGACTAAGGTTATTCTTTATCGGCTGAGACCCATCCTAGTCAATTGCATAGGCTCGGAACAATCCACTTTTCTTCCTGGCAGAGGTACTTCCAACAATGCCATCGTCCTTCACGAGGTGCTTCATAAATTCAATCGTCGACAAAGTGGTTGTGAGTTCGTTATCAAAATCGACTTAGACAAAGCTTACGACCGGGTGAAGTGGAAATACCTTAGTGACTCGCTAACTCAAATGGGTTTGGACACCTCTTCAGTCACCCTTATCATGAAGTGTGTGACATCCGCTCATTTTGCTATCCTTTGGAATGGTCGGCCAACTTCAGGTATTTACCCTTCTCGGGGGTTACGCCAAGGGGACCCGATTTCCCCTTACTTGTTCGTTATCATAATGGAGCGCCTTACCAGAACCATCAATCGGGAGGTCAGGACGGAAAACTGGGATCCCATTAGGTTGTCTCGGGGAGGGCCGGCTATTAGTCACTTATTATTCGCTGACGATGTTTTGATTATGGCTCAAGCTAATATTGCCACTGCCATAACGGTCAATAAAGTTCTTCATGCATTTGCGGACGAAGCGGTCCTCGCGATTAACTTGAGTAAATCCCAAATAGTTTTCTCAGCGGCCACATCAGAAGCGAAGCGTAACCGGATTTGTCAACAGCTCTCCATCCCAACGACGGCCAAATTTGATAAATATCTGGGCTTCCCCATCATTGCTGGGAGACATAAGATTTCCCACTTTGAGTTCATTTTAGAGCGCATCGCTGGGCGGCTACCCCCGTGGCGCGCTAAATTCCTAAACAAGGCTGCCCGGACTACGTTAGCGCGCTCAGTTCTCGCCACCATTCCAGTCTACTTTATGCAAATAGCGTGGTTCCCGGAAAAGACTTGCCAACAAATTGATAGCATCATGAAGCGGTTCATCTGGAAAGACCGCGATGGACGGGGCCTTCACCTTGTCAAGTGGCCCACAGTGGCCACGCCTCGTCGCTCGGGAGGCCTAGGACTTCGTCAAACTCGGCAAATGAATATAGCTATGTTAGGTAAAAAAGTCAGCGAATATATTGAAGGCACATCATCCCTTTGGGTTGAAGTTTTGACTGATCGTTTTGGCAGGGGATATGAGGGGATCAAAGGGTCCAAGATCCAATCTTCTTCAGTCTGGACAGCAATGAGGAGGTGTTTTTCGATCATCGAGAAGGGGTTCACTTACAGGATGGGTAATGGGGAGACCAATTTTTGGGAGGGAGTTTTTTTCCAAGGCAAACCCATCAAATGCCTTGTGGACTACGTGCATATATCTGATTCCGACAAATCATGCCGGGAGTTAATCGCTAATGGGCGATTTGATATGAAGTCGTTGCACACGAGGTTCCCAGCACATATTGCTAGGGCTCTGAAAGATGCCTGAAATCTTTATCTCCACCCATCATTGCCAGACAGGTGGTGTTGGTCCGTTGGGAGTAAAGGGAAATATTCTGTGGCGTCTTGCTACGAGTGGCTGCTTAATCAGAGTCTTAACACGACAACGTCGTGGAAAAACATTTGGAGACCTGATGTTCCAGAGAAAATTAATTTTTTCTGTTGGCTTATGGGACATCGTGCGCTGCCTACTAAAGAATTACGCCACCGTCGGCATCTAGATATGACGGGTACTTGTCTGATTTGTGGAGATGGAATGGAGACTTGGGCGCACATATTCTTCGAGTGCTCGTGGACTTCTCAGGTTTGGGCCAGGTTAGTTCATTGTGGTTTTCCTTACAGGCTGGCTTATTCAATCCCCCGTGATAGCCAAGTTCTGGAATTTATTGCTCAGGCACCGGCGGTTTTGCGATTTGCCCTTTGGTTTATGTGGCGGGAACGTAATAATAGGGTGTTCGGAAATAATCCTAATTCTCCCTTTGGTGTAGCCAAGGAAATTCTAGCGTTTTTCCAATGGTGGCAGGATACTCGGCGGCGGGCGAATAGGTTTAAGGTTGGGGCTAGTCGGGTCAATTTGCAGAAAACGGTTACATGGAATCCATTTCATCGTACGGGCATCATCTTGCATACTGACGGTTCGTCCATGGGTAACCCGGGCCCATCTGGGTTCGGAGCTGTCTTGCGCAACCATGAGGGGGAGTGGATCGAGGGCATTTCAGGGAATATAGGTATTGCAGATAATACGTTGGCTGAGGTGATAGCAATTCTTGAAGGATTATCCCTAGCAGTGGCTAGAAGGTGTACTACTCTTACATGTTACTCGGACTCGCAAGAAGCAATCCGGTTGATTAACACGGCATCCGTAACTAATCATGTTATGGGGGGT